TTTTGCTCTTCTCCCAACTGGTTTCGGCAAGAGTAGCCTGGCTTGTGGTTGTGTTTTCGTCGTCACTCTGTTACGTCATACGCTTCGTTGATCTGATTGGTTTATTTGGCCCGTCTATCACCAACTTAGGCCAATCAGCTAACCAGTATTTTTGCACCTTCCCAAAATTACTTCAACGGAAGGTTTCCAGATGGATATGCGGAGCAAATCCATCTGGCAGAGTCAGGTTAGGTGCACAGTGGTGGAGGGGTCATGATCTGGGCTTATAAGAATCACGTCAATAATGAGATTAAACCTCTGGAAGTTGAAGTTTGACCCTAAATGGATCATTTATTAGAAAAAGGTCCCAAACACAGCAGCAAATCTGCAACAGAAGGCCTGAAGGAGAAAAGCCAAGATTAAAGAGTCCTGGTGGGATTCCTTTGGTCACCCTAAAACGTCCTGCTAAGCTAAACATTTCTTTACATATCACAAGTTTTTCTTACCAGTCTTCGCATTCTGAGGGCGTGACTTTTTTAAGCCGCTACTCTTTTACTTCTCTTGTTTTCGGACTGCAGCTGTGAGCTGGTAGGTTTGCAGCCGAGCGTTGTCAAACAGGCCTCAGCATGCAGCAGTAGAAGGATAACATTACCAACATACTTCCTCTGTTATCTGTTAAACTGTTTATCAGAGCGCTTGGGTTAGAAAGTGTTACCGTTCAAGATCACATGACGAGATAGGAGAAAGAACAAGAGATTGCCTTTAGCTCTATCGTCCTGCTTTATGCACCATGGTTGGAGAAATGAAGGTTTTTCCGTCCATCCAAAGGTTAACCACTCATCCCTGTTTTGTTGCTTCAGAGCAGCTTAAAGCACAGAAGTGGCCTGAGGCAGCGGCGCTGGTTGTAGCTCAAAGGTTTCAGATGCTACATGCCACAGGTTGGCATCTCACATTTTTTATTCCCCCATTCCAAGAGTGAGCCTCACCTCTTTGTCTGCGCCTCGAGCTTCTGGGATCTGCAGTGCAGGCAGGAGGATGTGTTTCTAGATGTTACTGCAGATACAGTCATTGCTGCTTACTAAACATCATTCAGCTATTAGATTCAATAAAAGGACAAAAATCAAACCTGAAACTTGCTAAATTCTTTGACTTACATCATTGTCAGATGTATGGACTTATTCAGCTGGATATAGTTACTACTATTTAAAGTCGTAGGGAAATCATATTTAAATGTCAAATCATTCTGATTTAAACATGTATATAAATGTATTCTTTATCAGACGATATTGTCCCAAAATTTAGAAGATTTCTATTTAAAAAAAAAAATCCTGTCTTAAAATCTGTGTTTTATTCGTTATCTTCTGCAGGCCAGTTAGTTATACGTCAGCTTGAACACCTACATTCAGCCAATCATATATGAACCGTCATCTGTCAATCAAATTTTTTCGGTCATAGCATCTTGATTCATATGTCGCAGCTAATATACGCAAAGGTTGAAATAAGAATAATTTCCTTTCCCATTTAGTCGCATCCCAGTGTTCACGGGTTGCTGTTGTCTTACAACTGGGGAAACTTCTTTCCAGAGAAAAGCAGCAGAGCTGCTCCTCTGTTTATTGGAAAAAATACTGTTTTTAGGGTGTGAAGGATTTTTGCTTGAGTTCAGTTTTTGTTAATCTGTCATCAGTTTTTTGTGATTACGCTCAAACCTAAATTGTTTAAAGGTCCAGGATCAACATACAATATCGGACGCTTCGGTGTGGGTCTGTTTCTGTGAGCTCAGGTCATTTTTTGGTCATTTAGAAGGATGAACCAACATGAGAAAGTAAATTACCTCAATCGGCCACAGCCTCAAATATAAACCAGAGAACTAGTTTAGTCTTTTGCTGTTTTCCACTGATTATGGTTTATCGATTATGGATTTACACAATTCAGTTTCTAATAGTGATAAATGTAAATGATTTTAAATGTGTAATAGCCATGTTATAGCTATGGACTGAGGAGGCTGTATCCAGGGCTATTAATGGAACGTGTAGAGAAAGGAAAAAAGGTGCAAAAGCAAAGGGGATAAATAAACCACAGCTTTGACAGGATTTTGACACTTCTTAAATTTCTCTACTCCATAGTTTCCAGATCTTTGCATAAACCAGAAGTGATTTTGACCTTCAGTTTATCTGAAATGCTTTTGGATAGCTTCCGAGACTCCGTCTCAGCCTGGTGTTTCCTCTAACTTCCATGACCTGGTAGGTTGGCTATCGCATTTAGTATCTTGTTTGCATAGCTTTGCTCCCACATGATAAAAGGACTGAACTTATTTGTTCTTTAGTACGGTAGTCTGACAGCCACTCAAAGGGCTGCACCTTTTTGCACATCTCAAAGCACCCTGTGGTTTATTGTTTTGACCAAGGACGCATCAACACGTGAAGGGGAGGGGTAGAAACCGCAGCCTGCTGTAGCGAAGACAGCAGTACGACAGATACAGTCAGAACCTGCATATGGTGAAGATTCAGGTTAAACGATTTTGCATTCATCTCATTTCATGAGATGCACAGAGACATGGCTAATGGCAGCTAGCCTGGTAGAAATCCATGGCTTCATCACCCTGTTTTCCACCTGAACTGCTGCTCCAACTGGAGAACTCCCCACTGGGGCATGAAATCAGTTGCAGCTCAAGGTTTTGACCAAATGAAGCCAAGCAACTTAGACAGGAAGTAAGGGCTTTGCAGAGTGCGTGAAGCTGCTTATAAGGACATCTAGAGTCTGCTTTTCTTCTGGTAAAGCAGCTTGATGTGTTCTAAGATGATTAGAGATGCAGTAGATCTGGAATTACAATGGCGTTTTTAGTCATCAGAGGCTCAAACTGGAACCCGGAGTCACAGTGTAAGATTAGGCCTTAATTCTGGCTCTCACCTGTTCAATTTAGTTCAATTCAGTTTATTCATATAGCGCCAATTCACAACACATGTCATTTCAAGGCAGTCTACAGTTCACCAGATCAAACAGTCAAATTGATTCAGTTTTCTAACTAAGGAAAACCAGTTGATTGCATCGACTCATTGACTCAAATGCAATCCCTCACCCTAAGCATGCTTGTAGCGACAGTGGAGAGGAAAAACACCCTTTCAACAGGAAGAAACCTCCAGCAGAACCAGGCTCAGTGTGAGGGGGATCCCTGCTCCATCTCGCCATCAGTTTGGCGGTCCTTGGCCTGGAAAACGTTGAAGACCACTGATCTAAAGTATTCAAATACAGCTCTGGCTGTTTATTTTAGGGCGTTCTCGACATGGATCGGTTTTTCAAGGGTAGTGTAAATGGGGTAAAAGGGCGAGAGGCGGGGTACTCCCTGCAGGTCGCCAGTTGATGATGCAACCACCAGGCTTAAATAATGGGTCAGTGTGTTTAGGTTAGAGAGTTCAACAATACAGGTTTTTGTTCTTGAGGCTGATAAGCAATTATTTTGACATCCATCTGACCAATCCCAAACATGTGCTGCCGGTTGGACCGACTATTGAAGCAGATTTTTTTTTTCTTCCAGTTGCATGATTAAAAACATTGATTATAAAAGTTATGCAAGTTTTAGTTTAAAAAGAAAAGAAAAAAAATATTGTTTAATCAAACAAGACATGAACAACTTATGATCTCAATGTACAAATAGATCGGATGATGACAATACAACACCACCGCCCCCCCAAGAAAAAAACTAACGGGTAATATTAGCTCAAAACATTGTCTGTCTGATGTATCAGTCTATCTCTAGTTCATGTCGTTTTATGGCATTCGTAACATTTTGTTTATTGTGCAAGTAGTCCAAATGTGGTTCTAACTAAGTTGATCCATTTAATATCTGTCGAGGTTTGGAGCTAAGCTGAGACAGACCAATATTTTTGGCTGTTACTAGCATTTTTGTCCTGTATTGGCTGATATTTGCATTCATTAGTGCATTCAGTAATCATGTATTGAGACCATAGCATGTGAGCGGAGCGAGCAGCGAGCGGTAAAACGGAAGAAATATGGTTAGATTATAAAATATGTAA